TTACATGCTCTCTCTACATGGGATGCTACAGCCGTAGTTTATTGCAACAGTAGCCCCAGTATGAAATTCACCCAGTACCCATTTGTATATCTGGGTGGAGAGAAGCACTCTGAGAGTTAAACTTGTCATATCCAAGAACACAATGCAATGTAATAGCTGAGTCAGTAGGAAAGAGCCAAAAACTCACAAGATGCATGACACTATGCAATCACTTAAATCATACTTAAATATGAGGCTCAAAAGACTCTTAAAAGTGTCAAATAGTTGCTAGTTGTAAACTAAATGTTTTCGGGCTTGGCCCTTCTTCAGTAGGTGGAAGAGGAAGGGCCAAGCACGAAACATTTAGTACACAAGCAACTATTTGACACTTTTAAGAGCCTTTGGAGCCTCATATTTAATGTAATAGCTGAACTGTGAAACAATAACACAAGTAACATTGAGTAACTGATAACCACTCCAGCTAAACACAAAGAAACACAAAGACTCACCTGATAATGGAATCTATTGCCTCAATATGAATCTTTCTCCACATAAATCTCAGCCCACAGTGTTCTGGTTTGTATCTAGTTAGAAATGGGAACTGTTTTAACCTTTATGACAGCCTTGATCTCGTAAGATTTAAAAACTACACAATTCAAAATACATGGGTGAGTTTGGACTATGAAGGTGGTACATGTAAAGTCTGCATCAGGCCAAGTGATTCAAACCCCCACAACTAATCCCAGATTATAATCCATCAAATATTTTTGCTCGCGCACGATTGGTCTAAACGTATCATGTAACTGAATATTCCCCAGCTGAAACTGGGGAATATCCACGTGTTATAATATAGATAGGATCCTGCGCATGCCCTAATTGGTCGAAAACGCATGTTTTACCAGAGTATAAAACACAAAAAAGCGTGTTTTATTGTTTTTTGTCACCTTACCCCTATATATTATAAAGCAAATGAAGAAGCCTAAGCTGTGTATTACACTGTGATAAAACACTCCGGACATTTGAGAACACTCGCCTGCGGCTCATGTTTTCTACATTTCCCTTGTGTTTTCAAATGCTCATCGTGTTTTATCACAGTGTAATACATGGCTTAGGCTTCTTTATTTGTTAAAATATTAATATTACCCCATTATTAAAAACCGTGCATGTTACAAAAAAACATTTGAAGGCTAATAAACATGATAGTCTCCATTTGGTACAAAAATAAGCTCGGATGTTTGTCCTTGGACATTAACTGTTCTTCAAAGCTCACAGTTTTCCTCAAGCTACGCTCTCGAAAAACTGTTTGCTTCTCGGAACAGATAATGTCCGTGGACAAATATCTGAGCATATTTCCACACCAAATGGAAGTTATTATTTATTTCTCCCAGATTATCCCATATGAGAGTCTGTAGCAGGCTTTGTACCCAATATTAAATTTACCCCAGTACCCATTTGTACAACTACAGGTGGAGAGAGAGAGTGATAAAGAGTGTCTTGCCCAAGAACACAACGTAGAGACCTTAACCATTGGCTCAAACCCAGGCTTCTTGATCTGCAATCCAGTGTCCTTAATGTTAAATTACTATGTCCCTCCTGCCACAAAAGAATACGTGTTGACATCGGTACCCGAAGCATTGCAGTCTTTAGGGATTTTTGTACATCCTACTCCAGAAGGGCTAAGGTGTATGGCCACCTAACAACAGTTTTTTGAAAAAACTGAACAGTGAATTCTCTATTTGTTTAAAATTCTCCACCTGCATTGTGCACTGCATGCCTACTATGTGAAACCAAACACAAAGAAATTGTGACTCACTTAATATGGAATCCAATGTTTCAATATGATTTTTACTCCTCGAGTCTAACGTAGCTTTCATTGTTGCTTCTCTGTTTTGTATCTAGTTGACTAGTAAGAAAGAGGAAATGTATCACCTTTATGACATGCAGCCTTGATCTCTTACATTTTACAAACTACACAATTAAAATAAGTCATCAGATTTTTTTTTAAAGTTTCAACCCTAGTAAGGGAGAGGTTTGACAATGAACATAAGGTAGAAATTATCTGTGTCAGGCCTAGTGATCCAAAACCCTGCAGCTTATGCTGGTTTTGGAAGCATAAGATATAGATTTAGGCCAGCCTAAAAGCGTAGCTCCTGGGCCGCGTTGTTCAGAGCCAAATAACAAAGGAAAAGGTAGAATTTTGATTTCAGTTTTGTGGCTTTGCGGCGCGGTTTTCTGTATATTGTTTGGCCTTCTGTTTTGAGTTTTAATAATCACTATATACACA